GAGATCAGAGGTCTCCTACAGGGGAAAGGAATTTAGAAAATCGCTCCCCTCGAAATTCTAGGCAGGAGTCAAGCCATAATGATGGTTAACATAGCATGTTTGAACAGTTGACTGATAATTGGAAGACAATTCTCCAAATTAATAGGGAGAAAACTCATAGGTTTGGAGGCATTAAAAAGCATTGGGCAATTTCTTGTTAGTTGCACTTTTAATTTCAACTTTAATCACTTTAATTGCTGCAGCTAGAACCCCAAACTTTCCCCAACAACTCCATGTGGATTGGGATTGACTTTGATTTGACAATGCCTTCAGTTTCTCTGTTTAAAAATAGCTGAATGTTAATACTTCTGTGTAGTAAATTCTGTGTGAATTGTGACGTTGGTGTATGAAAGTTATTGGGTTAATGGCTTTGGATTTGGTTGTACTGTGTACTAAGGATGAACACATTGTTGCATTTCTTCCCCTCTTACCATCCCCTTGTTGTAGACTAATGAGCACTCCTCAAAACCACATTCACACAGGGCTTCTGAAAACTCCACGCCAGAAGGTATTGTATAAGTAGTTACGCGTTCTCTGTGTGCGTCTGTACAATTTTATTTGTTTTCAGTTCTGTCTTCTTATATTACTTGGTAACTTTATTGTAACAGTTAGTTAAAGTTCCTTGTAAGCCAGTTTGGTGTAGTGGTTAAGTGTGCGGACTCTAATCTGGGAGAACCAGTTTTGATTCCCCACTCCTCCACTTGCACCTGCTGATGTGACCTTGGGTCAGTCACAAGCTCTGGCACAGCTGTCCTTGAAAAAGAGCAGTTTTTGTCAGAGTTCTCTCAGCCCCACCCACCTCACAGGGTGTCTGTTGTGGGGAGGGGAAGGGAAAGGAGTTTGTGAGCCGCTCTGAGACTCCAAGTGAAGGGTGGGATATAAATCCAATCTCTTCTTCTTCTTCTCTTCTTCTTAGTATTTATATATTTTCCCCAGGGTATACTGTAGATGCACTATATATATGCATTACGATAAATAGGCATCTCAGTATACCTACAGTATGCAGCATGTTTTTGTGGCCATTCCAGCTTCTCTGTTTACTTCAGTGAAGGGTGGGACAGGGAGAGCACAGCTCCATGTACATAAAATTTAAGTATACCACATATACATATATGTAAAACTACCTCTCTCCATTAATGCAAATATGGTAGGCCAGACAAGATGAAGCAATTGAAAATGCCCCCGATTGCTTTCATCATTATGCTCAACCTCTTACAAAGGCAGACTACTAAAATGGAGCTCTTTCTTGTAATACTTTTGTGTCCTTTTCCTCGTGGTATTACTTTGGTCTCTCTTGCCCCGCTTTTTTTTTTTTTTAACTAGAGGTTCTGAGAGAACCAATATAGCTTCACAATATCAAAGGGAGATAAATTAATAAAACATGTTTTGGATTTTTTGACAGCTGTAAGAGCACCAAACAAACTTTATCCTGAACTTCCCAGTTACTCTGAGCTTCCCAGTTACTCTGCCACAGTGGGTGAGTGCTTACAGCATTATTGTTTTAGGCAAGTCCAAACACGGTTTAATTCAAGAAATTGTTTGTAAGTGATTATTCTATTTGCAATCCAAATTGTGCCACTATTCCATGCATAGATCTTGACCTGGACAATTCACACACACTTTTATCACTTATTTGGTGAAAATTTAAGGAAGAAATTAGCTTGTTTTTTTTAATTCATTGTAACAATGTTGAATCAAACATATCTTGACGTGTCTTGATTGAGTCAATTTACCTCATATTGGGTCTTCCTCTTTTTCTGCTGCCTTCAGCTATTCTCTCTCTCTCTTTTTTTTTTTGGCCCCCCTCAGGGGAATTTTTATATATTTGCATTTTCTACACACTACAATTATGGGATGGGGGAAGGGATACTAATACCCTAACACTAATACTATGGGTGATGGGTATAGGAAATCTAATACATAAATCTACTGGATAGGGGAAGGAGTACTACAGTTCTAATCTATTCCATCTACTGGATTTGGGGAATGGGTAAAGACTAAGACATGTCACGATCTGAGAAGTTATAGAAATATTGTTTTTAACCTAATATAACACGTTATGTTAAGATTTGATTCAATTATTAATACATATTTAGTAGCTTAACACAATTTCTGCCTTTAATACTATTGCCTTAGTTCTAGAGTGTTTTCTTCCTGCGTTTCTTTGTTTTCTGGAGTTTCGGAGCGGCCGCTCCTTTCTGCGATTCAGATGATTCTGATGACATGGAAGTTTGGCTTGTTGAATCCTGTGAGTAGGATTCATCTTCTTCTTCTTCTTCCTCCCCATCCTAGGGATGTCTTTCAAAAATTTTACTTCTTCATTCTTGATTTTTAAGGATTTTCCCATTGTTGACTTTAACACTAGTTCTCTGGTAGATCGTTTCATGAATTTCAGATAGATTTCCACAGGTAATTTATTTTTCTTTATAAAATCCGGATAAGTCCTATAGGGCCACATCCATCTCTTTTATTAAATCTTCTTGCTTGTAATCCATTAATGGGGCCAAGGCAGCCGCCAAGAATTCTTTTAAGTCCTCATTTTTCTGTTCGGGGATCCCATGAAAACGTAGAACATACATGGATCTATCCAGCTGAAGCTGTGTTATTTGCATTTTATCAGCGGATCTTTCCTTCTCTGCTTCATCCACTCTTTTATTAATACTCTCAGTCTTTTTTTCCATCTTTTTCAACATTTTCTCAGTTGCTGAGGTTCTTTTATCCATTTGATTCAGCTGTTTTGGGACATTATCAAGCTTAGTGTTGAGATTAGTCATCTGCTCCATTAGGGGGCGCAGTGCATTTGCTAGCAGTGCGGAGAAATCTGTAGTTACTTCCTGGTTCTGGGAAGGAGTCATTGGTATGTTATTTCCGGTCACCAGTTTTTTATCCGGCTCTCTCTGTCCTCTCCCAGCCATAATATCAACAAGAAGTAAGTTTTCCAAAACAAGGCAAAAGTTATACGATTTAGTCCCCCTTTGTATACTTTAGCAGTTTTTGCATTCGTTTAACTGCTTATGTGCTTATTTTAGCTCAAAGTCTTTTATTTCCAATTTAAAACTGTTTTTAAAGTTTGCTCAAAGAAAAAAGGGGGGGGCGTTTGAATTCCTCTCCCCAACGCTTCAAACTTAGGCACTTCCAATTACTACCAAGGTTCAGTTTGCTTTTTTCACTTGAGCTTTGCTTAGCTCACGATTTGGAGCCTTGGAGATCTTTTGGAAGCATTTTTAGAAGTTTGATCGTGGTCGCTTGCTCTGGCAGTCGTCTCTGGGTGCCATGTTGGCTCCACGGCGACGGTACCTTTTGGGGAAGAAGGTGAGCCTCAATTCCTTGGCTGTCGCCTTGGAAGAGGCTCTCCTCAGCTCCCCAGGCTGGGGGTCTCCTACAAAGACCCCGGGGAGGTCCTGGACGAACTCGGACCCCTCCCGTCAGCCGGGTCTCAGCGCGTCTCCATCAGAGCGAGACGGGACGCGTCTGAGCAGCGAAACGCTTAGACCGGAAGTCCGCCTTCAGCTCTTCCTAGCATTACTGCCTTTTCCAGTCACTCTTGTCTTCTGACAGCCTCAGTTTAGTCATTTTAGCTTCTAGGGAGAGTTCAGGCTTGATTTGATGTAGAACACACTTATTTGTCTTTTTGGTGGTCCTCAGTATTCATAAAACTCTCCTCCAACACCACATTTGAAAGGAATCTACTTTCCTCCTGGCAGTAGCATGATGAAATTAACTTGGGGAGAAAGTTTCAATTGTTCATAATTCAAGAGTGTTTTCAGATCCTGGATATGGATTTTCTAAGGCTTGCAGTGCACCACCTCACAACTACTGCCAACAAAATAAGAACATAAGAGAAGCCAATGTTGGATCAGGCCAATGGCCCATCTAGTCCAACACTCTGTCACACAGTGGCCAAAAATCCCAGGTGCCATCAGGAGGTCCAGCAGTGGGGCCAGGACCCTAGAAGCCCTCCCACTGTTGCCCCCCCAACCACCAAGTTTTTTCATCCTTTCCTTTTTCCTTTTCATCCTTTCCATCCTTTCCCTTTTCTTGTCACTCCCCACCTGACATTTAAGGTAGGATGGGAAAGAACAGGCTCAAGTTGCATCACTGTGATGTGCAATGAACATCTGCTGACAGTGTCATCCTCTCAGGAAGTCCACCTGGTATCTACCAGGAGTTGGGGTTTCTCCAGTGTTGCTCCTCAGTTATGAAATGACTTGCTGAAGCAGAGCACCACCACCTGCCATCTCTGCTGGCCTTTAATAATGTCTGTAAGATCTCCCTGTTCCAGTAAATATTTGTGTTAGTATTCAATCAAATGTATTTCTAGAGGTTTTTCTGTGTTCCCTGGCATTCAGCATAATGTTGCAGTGTTTCGTCTTGGGGGGGGGGGATGGGCAGAGCTCTTAAGGGTTACTTTTTTATTCCAAAATATTGTGTTTAACGTTTTTGGTTGTTTGCTGCTTTGAGCCTTTGCAAACAACAGGCTAGAAACAGTTTAAATAAAATCTTTTGGTCCTTTCTAAAATTGTATCCTGAAGCTCCAAGGTCTTGTCTTGCTGATGCTTCTTCCTCCCCTCACTCTGGTGTATCTCTCTCAATCTGGCTGGCTGTCATGCAACAGGCTCTTTGGTGAAGAATGTCCTCGAAAGCTCCTCTAAGTGGTGCAGGAAGAAAACAGCCCCACAGCTCATCTGCTGTCTCTGATAACAAGTGGCTGCAGCAACTATGCTTTTCAAATGTTACTGGTATTTATCTTATTTATTTCATTAGGCTTTTATACCACCCTCCTCACAAGCAGGCTCAGGGTGGTGCACAACCAATTCATATAAATACATATAAAATACATTTCAACAGTCTAAAATATAATATCATAAAACCCAAAATCATGTGGTGCCGTAATACAATTTATGTCTCCCAGTTTGCTTCAGTAATTGGGGGGGGCGTGTAGTTGGTGCAGAGCTCTAGTATGACTGTCTGGCTTTCAAGGCCCCAGTTCCTTCAGAGCTCCTAAAACAATAGTGTAATGTATCCAGTCCAGACTGCGTGGCCGGCTTGGGCTCCACGTGGTCAGACCCAAACGTCGAGCTTTGCTCCAAGAGACAATGGACTACGCGGATCCTAGCCCACTTCAATTAGGGGGCTAGGTTCCCGGCCGAAAGCCTATGGGACTCTTGGCCACTGTAAATAACCTATTAGGTAGTAGGGGTGTGTTTTGGGTGGCGGTTTCTCGGGGGATATAAGCCGGCCTGCGAGCCGGCCCATGTCATCTTGTTCCTGATCGAATAAAGTACGCTTTGCTGAAATCACTCTCCATCTGCGTACTTTTCACTGGCGACAAGGATGGGATTCATCTCCCTCGGAACAGAGACCATGTCCCGGATATCGCCGTGAGTCGCCACGCCGAACTCGCCACCGCTGCCGGCATCGAGCGTCTTCGAGAAGCGCCACTCACTGCACCGATCCCAAGCTCTGAGCATCGTACTGCTGACCCTGAGAGCAGCTCCGCACCGCTCCGTCTCTCCGCAACGCCAAGCATTGTCCTGCTGACCCTGAGAGCAGCAGTGCTCCCTGCATCGCTCCAGCCGCCACTGCCACCACTCCCGAGCTACTCACACCACATGGCCGCAGCTCGATGGCTACCTCCCAGGAAAACATTGCTGCTTTCGACATCTCCCAACCCGCACAATAGGAGACCTGGCTCGAGATCCTGGAGAACTACTTTGACTGCCACGATATCGTAGACCCGGGGAAGAAAAAGGCCCATCTGCTCCAGTCCTGTGGCATAGACACCGTCTTGCTGCTAAAGGACCTCATCGCGCCGAAGCAGACCAAGGACGAGTCCTATGGGGAGCTGGTGAAAGCGCTGACCAACCACCTTTTGCCAAAGCCCACCAAGTTTGCTGAGTGTGTGGACTTTTTTGTGCGAGTCCAGGGGCCAGATGAGCCGGCCTTCAAGTTCTTGGCCGACTCCGGCGGGCGGCCACCCAGTGTTCCTTCCTCCACCTGGAGGACACCTTGCTGAACCAGTTCCTATTGGGCCTACGGGAACCCAAACTCCGATGGAGACTGGTTAGCCAGGACGACCTGACCCTGGAAAAGGTGCTCAGGGACTCCATGGCATACGAGAAGGCGCATCAAGACCGCCGCGGGCGGGCGGTCCACCGCACACAAGCAACGCTTGAGTCGGACGAATCCGAGAACGGGGACAAAGTGCACCAGGTCCGTCGTCGGTCATCTCAACCGTCTACCAAATCGGGCAAAGCTTTCGCACCAGCCTCTGCCCCATGCGCCAGCTGCGGAGAGGGCCACAAGCGCCAGTCGTGCCATTTCCGAAACGCGGTCTGCCGGACCTGCAACAAATCAGGGCACATCTTCCAGGTTTGCAGCTCCAAGGGACAACGGCCGAAGCCGTCCACCCACCAGACCACGCCGGAGCTGCCCAGTGACTTCCACACCCTATCGGCCCACTTCCCGCAACACCAG